GTAGCTGCTTATTACCAAATTACCCAAACTGGGTCATGTTAAGGCTAGGCTAACTATCGTTATTAGTACATTAGCTTGTCACCAAACAGCACACGTTTTTTTTGTACTATGTTGGCGTGTTTGTGTGAACGGTTTAATGTGGTGTCGCCGCCGTTGCGTCGAGTGTAATTATAAAGACGATCACCGAGCAGTGATGGGGCATGTTGCGCTGGTGAAAGCCCGGTGATGCATCCGGCTGACGAACATATCATTTAACCTCGGTGTGTGGGAGATGCAGTACTAATTTGTTGTGCTGGTCGCCTCGATGGCGGGACTGCCTTCTTGTTTATGCTGGAAGTGGTTGATGCGGCGTTGATAAAGCCTCACATTTATAGTAGCTCGGTGGTTAAAGCGTTATCCAGCTGTGTTGCTGTGCTAATGTGCTAATAAGAAGCCCTGTAGTGTAATTTGCTGTTGCTGATAAGACCATTACTATGTTTGGGGTGATAATAGGTGACTGTGAAAGCTTAACAACGAATAGAAATGTCCCCCCTAATATAAATGTATTTATTTTTCTTCTCATGATTTCTCATGCCTGACTGGTGGTGGTTTCTTCAGGCTTTGACACATCGTATTGGACTACTACCTAAGGTACGTGAAGCTACACTACTGTGAGTGATATAGAGAGTACTTTAATGTGACTGTGTGTTCTGAAAGTAATTTCAACGTAAACGCAAAGTGCAGGTGATTATAGGACAAAATCCACTGTTTTGTTTTCTGTGGAGTTATTAATTTTAGAGTTCAGCCAAAGCTAATATACAAATTATTTGTTACCTATAAAGATACTCTCAGTAAAGCCCACCTTTTTCGTTTTTTCAGTGTCATGCTTCATGTGGAGATGCAAAGACTGTGGGAGGGTGTTTACAAGAAGATCTGAGCTGCTCAAGCACTACAAACTGAGTCATGGGAGCTACGGACGGGGTCATTCATATCCATGTACTTATTTAAATTGTACATGTAGATTCAAGACCTGGAATTCTCTAATAAGCCATTTATCAAGAAATCACGCTGCCCAACAAACAGCCACCAAAGCTGTGTCCACGTTCACATGCCATATTTGTGGTCATAATCAACTCTCCACAGAAAGACACTATTTTCAACACATCTTCCAGCATCTTAAAAATAATGAGACTGTAACATGCGTGTTCCGAGAGTGTGAATATAAAACCAACCTCTATGAGAACTTTAAAAGTCATAAATTCAGGAAACATTCTGGCCCAGGAAATGCCTTTAAGCCTGGCATAACTTCTGTTAAAAAATCTTCTGCCATTGTTGGTGATGATTTTTCAGAAGGGGAAAGTATAGAGAGCAATGTAAATTTGAATTGTTCTTTGGACAACGGACATACTGAGAACTTGGAGAAGGATATTGAGCTTAAAATAGCTTTAGTCCTCCTTAAATTGGAAAATGTATTTCTTGTGTCTAGTGCAGCTGTAGATGAGCTTTTGCAGGAGTTACATTATCTGATAGGTTCTCTTTCTCTGCCAATCACTCGGACGACTATTAGCAAGGTATTACAAGATAACGGATGTCTGTTTGACCAGTCAGTGGTTAAAAAACTAGCGAGTGTACTCTGTGATACAAACCCTGTTAAACAAGCAATTGAACATAAAGGTCCACTTTGCAGTGCTTGGAGGCGAAAGGCTTACTATAAGAAACACTTTAACGTAGTTGAACCAGTGGAATATATACTTGACAGAAAGAATAGAAAGTCGTTCCAATATATTTCAATATTAAAGTCTTTGCAGCAAATTCTTGACTGCCAGACTATCTTAGACCAGGCTAGTAATTTGAATACTTTAGATAAACAGCCACCAAGAACTTGTGTACACACATACAGATCTTTTTTTGATGGTGCCTTCTTCAAACAAAATGAACTGTTGCCTAAACAAGAAAGCATTTCATTGATATTATATATTGATGATTTTGAGATATGTAATCCTCTTGGTACATCAAGGAGGAAGCATAAAATTTGTGGTTTGTATTGGATTTTGGGTAATTTGCCACCAGGCTGTAACTCTGTTTTGTCCTCCATCTATTTGGCTGCTTTAATCAAAACTGATGATCTGAAGTGCTATGGCTATGAGAAAGTTTTAGAACCTGTAATTAAGGATCTTGTAATTTTGGAACAGAGTGGGATATTTCTAACAAAGTTGGCAAGAACAGTAAAAGGCACAGTTCAGTGTGTGGTCGCTGACAACCTAGGCGCACACGGTATTGCTGGATTTGTTGAAAATTTCACAGGGTCATACGTATGCAGATTTTGCACTGCAGAAAAATCTGACTTACAGACAAAAGAAGTTAGAAGTGGAGTCTTTACTCTGAGAACCAAAGACATTCATGCAGATCATTTAAGAATCCTTGAGGAAAATGGATTGCCCAGCTACTATGGTGTGAAATCAAAGTGTATTTTGTCAGAGCACCTTTCATATTTTGATGTTACAACTGGGTTTCCTCCAGATATTGTGCACGATCTTTTTGAAGGAATTGTTCCTTTTGAACTTGCACTTTGTCTCAATATATTCATTAAAAAAAAGTATTTCACATTATTTACATTGAACAAGGCAATATCATCTTTCAACTTTAAGTGGACTGACAAAACCAATCAACCTCATCCTGTGCCTCTTAGTTTTGGGTCCAGAAAAACTGTTGGGGGAAATGCGCATGAGAACTAGAGTCTAATCAGGTTTTTGCCTTTTTTAATTGGACATAATGTTCCCAGTGAGGAACCAGCTTGGCAGATCTTAACAGATCTGAAGGACATTGTTGATCTTGTGGTCTGTCCCGTTCATACTGAGGACTCCATTGCATATCTTGATTTCAAGATCTCTGAGCACAGAATCAGATTTCAAGAGGTTTTCCCAGACGTTAAGCTTAAACCAAAACACCATTTTTTGGAGCATTATCCATACTTGATCCATCAGTTTGGTCCACTAGTTCACCTATGGACTATGCGTTTTGAAGCAAAGCATAGCTTTTTTAAAAGAGTAGCAAGGAATATCAGGTGCTTCAAAAACGTGCTCCTTTCCCTTTCAGAGAAACATCAGTTTCAGATGGCATATCATTTGCACTCGTGTAGCTTTGCCAGACCTCCATTGGAAGTGACAAATATATCCACTGTACACATCGATGTACTGAACAAGGACATTTCAAATGCCCTGAGACAGAAGTCTTCAAATATAGATACAGTGAGCTTTGCCAAAACTGTGACATATGATGGACTAAACTACAAGTGTGGCATGATCTTGATCTATGGGTCTCTGGGAGGACTTCCAGAGTTTAGTGAAATCCTCCAAATGGTGATACTGCAGGACAAGTTGATCTTCATTGTGAAAAAGCTCAGTGGATGGTACATTGAACATTATAGAGCTTATGATCTCAAAACGTCACCAGGCAAGGAAGTGGAACTTCTTGAGCCACAAGATCTACATGATTCCTACCCACTGGCAGACTACACAATCCGAGGGATGCGTCTTGTCACATTGAAAAGATATGTCCATGTTTAAAGGGTGAGGAAGCTAAAAGTGATATTTCATTAGCTGGAAAAAGAAATAATTCATAACTATTGTGTTCTCAAAACAGATTTATTTCATACCAGTGTTTTTTTTTGTTTTCAAAGGTTTTATTTATCATTTCACCAACAAATAATTACACTAGGTAAATATCAGAAAATATATAAATGTGTGGGCTTTTTTTGTGTGGTCAGAGTTTTAATGCTTCACCTGCAAAACAACAATATATTTGTTTTTGTATGACTTCCTATACATATTTGTTATTGGTGCAAGACTAACTATCAACCCTTTGAAGATTTCAAATGATAACATTCAATTTGTTTGCACATACAAGTTGTCAACTGCAGATGGAACCTAACATTGAGGATAAGGGTGGGCATTATGTCATTTTTTAAAGATGTGCTGATTGAGTCCAGTCAGCAAATGCCGCCAGTGGAAAAGGGATTTACACAAAGTTGTAGTCCTTTTACTGAAAACTGATAACACATCTATAAGATGATACATTAACAGTGTGAATAATAAGGAATTATGTTTAATGTGCCTTTCTTAAAACGTATTGTGCTTGTGTTGTCTTCTCAGACTGCCATGGCTGATTCGACGCCTGCAAGACTGAAAGTGATTTTGGGGGAGAACAACATTGAAAAACTGTCTCTTCCAAATGGCATACCGGAATCATTGGATGACCTTCTCAGCAAGTTAAAGACTTTCTTTGGGTTAAAGGGCGACGTCAGACTGCAGTACATGGACCAAGACTTTGGCAACGACTTCTTCAATCTGAATTCCACCACTCAACTTCAGGATTTGGGAACAATCAAAGTGATCCACCAGCAAACAAATACACCTTTGAACATTGCCACTGATACCACATCATCGTCTTCACTTGAGTGTGATGGCAATGTTTCGTTGGCATCAGATGACACAATAATCCTCTCATCCCCCGAATCTGTGTCCTCTCGAGCCAAACAGTGGCCAGCGGACTTTCCGATTCCTCAATTTTCATATGACACGGAGCTGCAGCTAGTGATGGGGAATTCTGAGTTTAATGGAAGCCACAAAATGTTGACTGTCAGCTCCCGAAGCAAGTCTGATATTCTGAATAGACTTGCAGAAACAATTTACGGGTACAAGGCCTATCCAGATGATTCACATTTCTGCACAGTAGCAGAGGCTCTTATCAAAAAGCATCCTTGTTTGAAAGAACCTGGCTCATTCAATGGCTGCAATGGATGGAAACAGCGCCTGAAATATAAGATGGGAAACTACAGGACTCAGCTCAAATTGCAGGGGTGCCCAGAGCTGGTGGTAAATTCCCTGAAATCTAAAGCTGCTACAGATGCTTTCCCTGCTAAAAAAGTCAAGAGGCCAAAGCGAGCTGAGGCTAAATTGTATCCATCCTTCCCCACTGGTGCCAATCTGGAAAGCCTGGAAAAAGAAAGACTAGAACTTCTGACAGACATCAGGATAAGGAACAATAATAGGGTCATCGCAGACAAAATGGCTCACACGTTCGCCTACAGACGACAGGAGGTGGTAAACCAAGAGCCAAGAATCAAGGACTTCAAAGACAGGTGGCCGGCACTGTTCCAACACAAAGAGGTAATAACCTAGTCTGTATACATTTTTTAGTAAGCTTTTATCCATTCATCATAATATGGTGTGGTAAAGATTATGTTTAACAGTGTTTACTGACAGAATTTACATTTTTAGTTTGTTATACTTTTTGCCAGTGTGTAGGCATGCTTAGTTTATTTTTTTTTCTTCGAGCGTGTAAAACCAAAGAAAAATACAAATGAAACAAGAGGTGATACAGTATTATACAAATGAATGCAATAACAAAACAAAACATTTAATTAATAATTGAATAATCTGTAGTATCATTGTTTGGTATCAATAAACAACAAAGCTTTAGCTAATTACACGTCCGAAAAGGGGTCGGAAGAAGTTTACACTTGCTTCAATGGTTATTTTTTTAAATGTTAATTGCATACAGACTGAGTCCAATTGAATTTACTCTTTTTTGTATTATTCTTTCATAGATCAATGCAGAGTTCCAGAGGATAATGACCATTCCTCTTGAGGAGAAGTTCATGGCCCAGTTGGACATTCACTCAAGTCAGCTAATCACAGTCATCCGTGCCAAAGGAGGATCAACACGTCAAAAGACTGCTGACATCATGGACATTTTTGACCAGGTAAATCTGCATTGTCAAATGAGTCCTTGCTAGCTAAAAGGGATACCTTTTGTGTATCCTTTTATAGATACATGGGGAGGGCAACCGTTGTTTTATGAAACTCAGTAACTAGGAGTGTCCATTTGTTTCTAAATAAAGTGAAGGATTTTAGCTGTAAGAGTAAGGAAATCTGTCAATAGACATTTTGAAAAATAAAATTAACCGAAATAATGTTGTCTTAGACTGAAGACATTCATCTTCGGAGGGAGTGTGTCCTGAGAGCCCTCATTATCTTCCTGGGAGAAGATCCAGATGAGCTGATCAAGGAATATCTGGTAAGTTTTAACTGCAATTTGTATGTCAGCACAGCTTGTCAAAGGCACACGTGCTTTGATATTAATGCTGTAAAAGGAACATTTCTCTACTAAAATAACACCTGTCGGGTTTGATTATATTCATAATCTTGGACATTTGACATCATGTAAGTTTAAAGCACCTTTGTGGTTTTCCAACTCCTCATAGCACTTGTGCACATTCACATTCACCCATTTATACACTGATGGACCATGCCACCTAAGTATGTAGCTTGTAAATATGTTGTATGATATCCTCTATTGTTTTATGTTTCATGTGGAACCTATATGCTGCAGGTCTCCCTTGAAAAAGAGATCTATGATCTCAATGGGACCAATCTGAATAAATAAAGTTACAAACAAACCTGCTCATCAGGGATAACTAAAGCATAGCATCGGAATTTGGGTTTTTAGTAATTTTCCCAAGTCACACACACACTGTTGGAGATTTGGAGGGATAACTGGTCCGCTTTTCAAATCTCCGCGCGTTCCTATGAAGCTGGTTATAATACAGGAAGGAATCCATAGCTACAAAGTAACCGTTAACAATAATCTACTTTAATGGCAATATGACAATGCAATACAATCATTACAATACAACATGATATATTACAGTTATATTGCAATGCTTAAGGAGTAATGCCGGCTTACTCCTGCTCTAGTCCGCATACTACAGAGCTACTTTCACCCGAGGGCAGCATGTGAAGAAGAGGCCGAACGCCAGGGATCCACCGGATATATACCAGAGTAAGAAGGAGGGGTTTGGTGTTAGGTCAGCTGGTCATCTTTTCAGGTCATCTCATTGGGAGACGCAACGCAGCAGGAAACGTAGCAGGAAACCAAACAGGCTCACTTTACAACAAAAGGTCTCAAGGCCTGCATACCTACACCTCCCCCACAGAGCCATAAAACCCTGTTTACTCCAACCAGCCCAGAATGTTTATAGCCATTTGTAGTCCTTACATTTATGAAAGGATAAAACAGAGAAATCAATATAAAACACAAACACAGGTATTGTTTGAACAGTATTCACTTAACTGCTACTGTTGATAAGCACCAGAGAAACCCAAGGGACCTCTCTTAACATCACAACCACTGTGGCTCGTTCTAAGTTGAATGCAAATCAGGACATGCTCTCACCTTCCCCCATCTTCCTTTGTCCTCAAAAACACATGTCAACAGGCCCCAAATGCAGCTCACAGTTTTACCCAAATTATTCTCATTTTAAGCTTATCCATAGTTTGCTAACATGAATAAATACAAATATAACTCTACAAATCCCCCTTTTTATCTCCTTCTCCAGAGATAAACTTAGACAAGGCATTTTGAAATATACCCACGGTCATTATTTTCTACTGTGTCCATAAATCCATCCGAAGCTGGTATTTAGAGTACTTGAAACCTTCATGGAGACAGAACACCACTTTCCATGGCAGTGAAGGAACCATGAGGGGGTAGCTGAGTGCTAGAATCATCAGCCCCCCCCCCCTCGGAGAAATAGCCCACAAGGACAGCTAATAGGGAGGGGGAGATGCAGCTTGCCCTTCACGGGTGGAACTGATCAGAGCGAAGTAGACTCCTCTGCTGCGCCGTCCCGGCTTGCCGTGTCTTTGTCTCCCCAAATCCGCTGACAGCAGCTTCTGGGCTGCCTGCTAGAGAGATGTCTTCCTCTCCTCGTCCTCCGGCCCGCTGATGGCGGCTTCCGGGTCGATGCTGTAGAGATGTCTCCAGGGTCCTCCTTCTCGGGCCCGCTGATGATGCCTCCCGGGTCGTCTGCTGTAAGGATGCCTCCAGGGTCCTGCTCCTCCAGTCTGCTGCTTCCGAGTAGTCCACGTCTGCCAGGGCCACGTCCGTCCTGATGTCGTCCCCTGGTCCTAGTAGGTGGTTTCCCCGCCGCACACTGGCTCCCGTGGTACGAGCTGTCCCCCTTTTCTCCCAGGCAGACGGCATAAGAGGTCCGCTGGGTCACTCGGTCGGGGTCGGAGAGCCTGGGGTTGAGCCACTTTGTCCTCGTGCTTCTCGGGTCCCCCTTTTGGCGCCGGTGACCTGTGTGGAGAAATCTGATACAACTCCCTCAAGCCTACGCTCAGCTGTTTTGCCCCACTTGGAGCCTGTTGGTGGGGTGTCTTGAAACAACAGCCGTCTGTGAACAGGTTTTCTAAATTAATTGTAGACCTCTTATCTGCCAGTGCAGCTTCAGAATCTTAATACTTGGACTGTGCCAACTAAATAAGAACCTCAACATCTTTAGGTAAACTAAATAACATATTTCAATAGCTCTGAATTTCTGACAAGCATCTGTGTTTATTTTTAAATGAAATCCTATTTAAAATCCAAATATAATATGAACTGCTAATGTTTCTGGTAAAGAAACACACTAATGTTATGGATTCAAAAACAACCAAAATCACGATGCTAACAAAGTGAATGATTTCCTGGTGATACTGCTTCTACCTGTCAGTGCTTAGATATTATCACGCTGAAAAAATGAATACAGAATTCCAACAAACTGTCATCAAATGTCTTTCTATTATAAATTTAGATGAAATGTATATCCCCATAATGACCTAAACAATAAAGTCTATGGCTTTTACTTCTTTACCAGGCTAGTTACATGATGTTGTCTAAATTAAATTCTGTCTCATTACATTACTATGTTTTAGCTTTAACTGTAATATGTTCTTTCTACATTTCAAACCTCAGTTACTCTAATGTCTGTTAAAATATTACAAAATTGTTTAACTATCACAGGTCAACTTCTTCGGTTTCACAGTAGCCCCTTGGCCACTGCTTCTGTGTTACCTGCTATAATTCAAATCAATATTTAGAAACATCTCAACATTCATCAAACAGTATCTTATCCCCAGATATGGAGCAGGTTAATTACATTCAATGCTCAATCCTTAAAAGAAAAATTTAAATTGTGAATTTTACAGCCATGTTGACATTTATACATTATACTCACTCCCCCCTTTTACACATGAAATCATGTGTAACAAAAGCCTGTAATGGGAGGGGAACAAAAACTGTCAGGTAATTGGTTAGGAACATAACGAACATTATTATCATTATTTCCACAGTAAACACTTCAGTGAAAAGAAGTGTTCCTCTCCGTCCTTCAGGCCTAAAAGAAACAGAATCTTCAGATTGTAGTTTTACATTTGCCAACCGCCAACTCATGTGAGAGGAAAATATCACATGTGCGGTTTCCCCTTTTTGTGGAATTTTTAGGAAACCTCTCGTTTCCCTTGGAGCTCCAAAATAATATGTTAGTCCAAAAACATGCTTGGTTAGTTATTGTTTTAGAATCATGCAGTTACACTGATCACATGCCGGCATACATTCACACTCACACTGTCTGGTTGTCATGTCAAGTTTGGTCAGGTTCACCCCAGAGTCAGTCATCCACAGTGCCTTGTCAAGTTACACTGTCGGTCAGGGTCAAAGGTCAGTTGGTCTCCGTCTTTTTTGGCCATGTGTCGTGCTCTGCAGAGACTTTGACATTTCCGCATAGGCCAGTATCCTTTGTCTACAAAAATATGTCACGATTTCAACTATAATTTTCAAGATGATTCTCACTTGTCATTGGGACTTCCGCCTCCCACTTTTCCTGAAACTTGGTACAAAACTCACTTCCTTCGAGTACCACTACTAATTAAAATGTCTAATGATCTATTTCAGAAACTTTTGTACATAACTATTATCTTGAGTCAAAACATTACTAGGATATGTGTCGCTCTGCATTTCATAGCTCATTATAATTCTGGTCTACTTAAAAAACGATGTTAAACTCTTTAGCAGTGTGTGGAACCTTGGGTGTCCGAACATGCAACAATTACTCCCTCCTTTATCAAGGATTTAAAACCGAAGTCTGGTAATAACTATGCCACAATGGTGAAATCAACACTTTAGATTGGAATTTAATATGTGGCTTGGCACTAGCCATTAATACAAACAAAGATTTGTCCTATAGAGTGGTTCCTAAAACTATCCTTTTAATGGTGATCAATATTGTAACCAATGAGATCACTACTTCATTCACACGTGAATAAAAATGTCTTAAAGAATGAATTGTTAACATGATGAAAATATTGAAGAATATGGTTCTACTCTGTCAGTGTGTTTTAGGATGATTATCATTTTACTTTAATAGTTTCCTCTTTACTGCTATTTTTAATTTACCAAATGATTAATAAATCTTTCTGTCTTTATGAAGTTAATTCAAGTTATTTAAATGTGCGTTTCGTGAATAAGTGTGTTTATGTGTAACTCACTCATTCCCGTTCTCCTTTCCTCCTCCCCTGGTTTTCTCAAGCCGTGACCCCGGCCTCCTCACTTCTAATCGACCATGCCAACTCCTCTGATTCTGTCTTCTCTTCAGTCCATCAGCTGTTGAATCCATCCGCTGTAACTTTTGTAGGCAGCCATTGGCCCAGTCACATCTGCAGCCCCATCATGCCACTGTTGTTGCACTCCTCCTTTACAGTCTCTCTGCTGTTTTTATGGAGGGCGGATTCTGCTCTCATGTCTATTGTGCCAAATCTCGCAGCGCAGTTTGGAACTTCATGTCCTGTTTGAGGGACCGATGAGAGTATCTCTCTGTATGTCAGCATGCTGGTTTGGTTCTGGATGCCACAGGTGGAGATAGTTCTGGCTGCAGTCTTGATGTAGTCTTGTTGTTGTTGTTGGTTCAGCTCTGGTTCTCTGTCTGTACGATGGAGAAGGAGGAGTCTCCTGTTGGGTTAGGTCTCGTTGTCTGCTTGGAGGGTCGGGATCAAAGCCTTTCTAACTCAGAGGGGGAGTCCAGGTCCCGGTACACATTACCTATAAGAAGTCTAGCCCACTGATGTTAAATAAATCCAACCCTTTCCACTCTGTCTCTTTCTAATCATACTATCTGTCTTAGTTGTTAAATGCCATGTAATCAACATAATTAATGTCTACTTATGATATTACAAAAACTCACTCCAAAAATTGTTTCATCCATTGTTACATATTTACCCAACACAACTCTGAAATACTTACATGTTTCCAGCATCACATATTCCACACACTATGAAAGAACATCTCCATATCTTCTCTCATTTAAATCCCACTGTTACTTCGAACAATAGTAAACCTGCAGAGCACACCAATCGGATCACAGTAATGAAATTTGAATCAAGTGTAGGCCTATGTCTTCTTTCTGAACATGTATTTATATTGTCTACATTTGCAAACAGTTCGAGTGTAAAATGTGTTTTGCACAATGTATTTACACTCTACAGATTCTTGAGTTTACTCATCTCCTGGTGCTGTCGTTGTAAAAAATGTTCAATCCCTTATTGTTTTGTACCAGTTTACCAAACAATACCGGCCAGCAATGTAATGATTAAACTCTAAGCTCGCATAAGTTTCAAGGGTGTGATACCCCCTTTCAGCCACTAGATGGCAGCAGCAGAAGTTTCAAGGGTGTGATACCCCCTTTCAGCCACTAGATGGCAGCAGCAGAAGTTTCCAGACAAAGGGAAACGCTCTACCTTGGTTTAATATATAACAGACCTCTGGCTTTAAGCTTTTAGCATTGGTCTGTTATTTAAACCCCAGTTTTAAACGGCGACTCGATCTAATATATCGAGTTTTCAGGTTTTGCCGTGCAGGATTCAAACCTCGCATTCACACAAACTGCACCATTTCTACGCCACTCAGGAATAAACACCTGCAGATCCGCGCCAAACTGCTCTATTTTACGTCACGCAGGACTTTCGTCTACCTGTCGATCCACGTTTACGTTTTGTATATAACTTTCCTAACATAGTAAAATATGCATTGTATATTCCATTTAAACTATAAAAACACTGTGAAACGCCTACAGACAATCCTAAAGTTTTAGCGTATCCAATTACAGACAGGCGACTTTCATCGTCTGCTTACCTTATTTGCAAAGCTGCAGAGTCCTGCTGATTGTCTGAGATGTTTGAAAGCGTCTGAATTCTTCCTCAGCTTCGTTATAGACGTCGGGGTCACCATTTTGTTAGAGATTTGGAGGGATAACTGGTCCGCTTTTCAATTCTCCGCGCGTTCCTATGAAGCTGGTTATAATACAGGAAGGAATCCATAGCTACAAAGTAACCGTTAACAATAATCTACTTTAATGGCAATATGACAATGCAATACAATCATTACAATACAACATGATATATTACAGTTATATTGCAATGCTTAAGGAGTAATGCCGGCTTACTCCTGCTCTAGTCCGCATACTACAGAGCTACTTTCACCCGAGGGCAGCATGTGAAGAAGAGGCCGAACGCCAGGGATCCACCGGATATATACCAGAGTAAGAAGGAGGGGTTTGGTGTTAGGTCAGCTGGTCATCTTTTCAGGTCATCTCATTGGGAGACGCAACGCAGCAGGAAACGTAGCAGGAAACCAAACAGGCTCACTTTACAACAAAAGGTCTCAAGGCCTGCATACCTACACCTCCCCCACAGAGCCATAAAACCCTGTTTACTCCAACCAGCCCAGAATGTTTATAGCCATTTGTAGTCCTTACATTTATGAAAGGATAAAACAGAGAAATCAATATAAAACACAAACACAGGTATTGTTTGAACAGTATTCACTTAACTGCTACTATTGATAAGCACCAGAGAAACCCAAGGGACCTCTCTTAACATCACAACCACTGTGGCTCGTTCTAAGTTGAATGCAAATCAGGACATGCTCTCACCTTCCCCCATCTTCCTTTGTCCTCAAAAACACATGTCAACAGGCCCCAAATCCAGCTCACAGTTTTACCCAAATTATTCTCATTTTAAGCTTATCCATAGTTTGCTAACATGAATAAATACAAATATAACTCTACAACACACACACACACACACACACACACACACACACACACACACACAACACACACACACACACACACACACACACACACACACACACACACACACACACACACACACACACACACACACACACACACACACACACACACACACACACACACACACACACACACACACACACACAATTTGACAACAATTGAATGATATTAATATTAATCCTTCTCAACATAAATGAAAAATATATATACATAGTAGATCAAGCTGGAATAACAATTAAACATAGAAGTAAGAGGGATATTATTTTCAATCTGCAATATGTGAGTTCAGGGTGTCCTAGCATTTTTAAATATTAGGTTCTGATCATGTGAGTCGTCCGAATAATCAGTGAGTTATCACAGAGTAGGACTCCGGCCAGTGATATTATTGTCCCATATTAGTGCAAAGTGATGCCAGTGATGTTTGTTGTCATGTACTCCTGTTCTAGGACTCCAGAACAGATGATCTTCAGAAGGAGATGGAGGAGCTCACAATGGGTGTGTTTGTGATACGGAAGGAGGGGGAAGGACTGCAGGAGCCACCAGCAGACATCGGCATCATCATCGAGGGCGTGGAGGTGCTGAATGAACTGCCTTCAGTTGCCTCAGCTTGTGCCCTCCTTCTGGGTTTGCTATATGCACTCAACATAGCATATCCAAAACCCCTTCATTTCACGTTTGAAGTAGTTCAGAAAATAATCATGCAGCTTGACCAACACAAGATGTCCGCCAAAGTGCAAAGTCTGTATGGCAGACTTCAAAGCTCAGAGTAACGACAAATAAAACAACATTTTCCTCCTCTGGGCCAACACATGGCCTAGTGCTGTATTAGCACAATGGCGTCTTGACATCGGACATTGCTCATGTAAAAGAAAATGTTGTGGGTGCGGTAGGTTTTTGTTTCACCATTTTAGTTTTGATTCCAAGAAATGGTTATGTATTCAGAAGAACATAAACTTTGTTAATGTTTAAATATTTGTTTCTAACAGCTTTCATGCAGTGGTTTACTTAAGTAAAATATCTCTGTACTTAATGTATTTCACCATTGCTTCAATGTCCTGTTAATGTCAATAAGCATATATAATAAAGTATACATACATTATATTTGAGTCCATGATTTGTCTTTCAGCCAACTTAACATTTTAATTGTAAATAAAGTATTTAAATTATATTTAGTAAACTAAAATTTCATACCGAGGTTTGGCAATGCACGTGGCCGTGGCTCATTCCCCTGATAGGTGGAGAGTTGACCAATAAGCGGAGCACGTCTCTTTGTGACGTAGGAAAGTGTTGAAATCTGGATCCGTTTTTTTCAGATCCGTTTCAGCCCCTTTTTTAGAGATTTGGCGAAGGAGGAAAATAGAGAGGGTTGTGTTTTCTGACACTTGGTGAGTTCCCTGGAACACCGGGGACACATATTCATGTATAAAAGACGTCCAAAGGTGCATTTTGCATGATAGGTCCCCTTTAAAAAAAAGTATGAAAGGCAGCGGATATGGCTAAAGCCTGACTCCTACTGGCGGCTGGTTAAATGATTCCTCGTCCCTGAGTACACTCATGCATCTTTCAGCAGGAAAGGAGAGAGGGAATCAATGGAGCTGCCAGGGAGGACACAGAGGAATAAACGCAACAAATATGCGTCCCTAGATGCGTCATGAGGTGTACGCAGTAAGAAGTAACGGTACGGAGATGGGTAAAAATCAGAAGTCCCGGTACTGCGTACCGGTGAGTACCGGCCCAATTCAAGCACTGAATACATGTATATAATGACAACGGAAGAGGATTAGGGACACATGAGATAACAAATCTGAATAAAAAAATAAATAGAAAATTAGAATCCTGAATTATTTTCAGAATACTGAGATTAAAGTAAGAAATCTGTTTAAAAATGTTAACCCTGTGAACAACACATGTTTTCCCATCCATCTGTTTTCTTATGCTTACTGGGACTGGGTGGCAATGGGCTATCCTAATGCTCAATGACAAATCTAGAGCATAGAATAGAATGGGCTTGTTTGAGACGAGCTGCGGCTCGCCTCGAAAGTAGACGAATAGCCGATCGCAGCCGGGGGAGGTCTCAAAAAGCTCGCCTGAAGTCGGACAGCTCGGAGTCGGCTCCTTCATCTTCTTCTTCTTCTCTCGGTTTTTTGGGGGATTGCAAACAACTTTAAGGTGCATACTGCCGCCTCCGGAGTCGGCTTGACTCGGTTTGCATTTATAAAGAATGCACAAATGTGTTTAATCATTAATGTCAGATATGTACTAAGCAGTGGCGGTTCTAGAACATTTTACATGGGTTGGAAAAGGGGGGGCAAGAGGTCATGCCAAGGTGGCATAGGAGGGCGGACAGTACGTGGTATTTTACACTGTATATAACCTATTTATTGTTAATTCATGCCCTAACACAAGTGTTCTTAATGCACAAGAGAAACAAGGTGTTCAGACAAACAATCGGGTGCCCTTTGAGTCCCCCAAGCTTACTTCAATAATTTTAAATGAAAGGAAACTACAAAATGTATTTTAAAGCAATTATTTAATGGAACAGGTTGTTTTGCATTACAATGTAAAATTAAATATATATTTTGTTTTAGACAGACACAAAAATTGGTTGTCTTAGACAGACATATTTGCATGTCCTCACTAAGCATTATTACATATTAATTTAATATTAAACAAATCAAAATGGCCAATTATCCCAAATGTTGCTGCTAATATAATCATATGCTTGTCAACTTTAACTGATCAAAAATCAATTCTGAAAAAATACTTGAATTATCTATGAAATTGCAATATTGTCCCTCAGTTTGTTTCAACCCCGTCACGCCATACCATTTACCCTCCTATTAAAATAATGGATCAGTCCGTGTGTGGATCAGTCCGTGTGTGGATCAGTCCGTGTGTGGATCAGTCCGTGTGTGGATCAGTCCGTGTGTGGATCAGTCCGTGTGTGGATCAGTCCATGTGTGGATCAGTCCGTGTGTGGATCAGTCCGTGTGTGGATCAGTCTGTGTGTGGATCAGTCCATGTGTGGATCAGTCCATGTGTGGATCAGTCCGTGTGTGGATCAGTCCATGTGTGGATCAGTCCATGTGTGGATCAGTCCATGTGTGGATCAGTCCATGTGTGGATCAGTCCGTGTGTGGATCAGTCCATGTGTGGATCAGTCCATGTGTGGATCAGTCCATGTGTGGATCAGTCCATGTGTGATCTGCATTGAGGGAATTACATCACAAAAGTGTCAGTTTCTTCTCTTACCTATATTTCAGTTTTTGTATTTTCAGATTAAGATTGACAAGCTCAACATTTCAACTCTGTTATATGAATTAATAATAGTAAATAATTGTTTATTACAAAAATAAACAATAGTTTTGCAAAATATTACAATTGTGTAATGTCCTTGACTTCCATGTGGTGCCATATCTTAGCTAAACAAGGTCTCATGCCTACTTTTTGTCAAAAACTTCAACCCTGTTACATTTTTTCAAGGAAATTCCTAGTAATTATTTATATGTTGTGCCTGAGGTGGGAACATGTAAGTAGTCCACTACCAGATGTTATGACCAAACATTTTGGTTTCATTTTTCAAAGATATAAAGACCCAAAAGGCACCTGATTCAGAGAATACTCAGAATTCTGCATACTGTAAGTACTTAATTATAATTAAGTACACAAATGACATCACCCATCTCTTCAGAGAGCTACAGGTGACCTGTGCAGCAACACATTTCAATCAATAATTGTCAATACTAAGAGCTGCTAGATTGTGCTGCTGTAATGGAATATGTAAGGAGAATAAGAACATACCATGTGGTCCAGCTGGAGTCTCCTCTGCCTTCCCTGCCTCTGGCCCTCTTTCTGATACTTCATCTTTATTCCTCACATATATTTCTTCTTCTTCACTAATGTCTTCATCTCCTCCTCTTCCTCCTGCTCTGACCCTCCTGCTCTCTTCATCTCCTCCTCTTCCTCCTGCTCTCTTCATCTCTCTTTTCCTTTTCCTCTTTCTGTTCTCATATGTCTTTTTGTTGTTGTTGAATCACTCCTATACTCTGGCCTGCAAGAGTCTACTTGTGAAAAGCACTGGTACAAATGCTTGTATAACTTTACACGTTAGGGCCATGTAGCCTAGCTAATATGTAGCATAACATCAGCAAGTATTGATCAAGCGCACACAGGCAGCTGTGTTTGGATCCAGTTTTTACGGTAAAGGATGTATCCTGGTTTCATTGATCTGGCCTCATGGCTGTGATGTGTAGTTTACGTGGATTTAATAGTAGGCTACCGCGTAGTTTAGCAAAGTGATCGATCTCCCAGCTAACGCTGTCTGCGTAGTATTTTGTAACGTAACGCCCCAAACAGCGCCCGTCTGTTAAACGCTATCATTCAATCAATCAATCAATCAATCAATCAACACTTTATTAATCCCGCAAGGGGCAATTGGTTATGAGCAGCAGCTTATGTCATGAACACAGGCAGGAACATACAAGAAGAAAAACACACAGATACACCCGGGAGCACAGATGTGAATAATTCTAATTTACACTATAAATAGTTCAAAGCATCACAATAATAAATAAATAAATAATCAAGTTAAAAGCCTTTTCAAGAATTAAAAAGTTTGAGTGCAGAAGGGATGAATGATTTAGAAAAGCGATTAGTCCTTTGAGCAGGTAGAGCATATCTTCGCCCTGATGGCAACAGACGAAATTCATGTGAAAGAACACGACCTGGAGAGTTCAGAATGCTCTCTGCTTTCCGCAGAATCTGTTGGGGACAGAAGGAATTTAAGTCTCTGTTTCACGCCGATGATCTTGGAGCAGGTTTTAACAATGCTGTTCAGGCTGTTCCTGTCTTTCAGTGTGAGGCTATGGAACCAGCAGATAAAAGAAAAACAAATAAGGCTCTCAATGAATGCTTGGTAAAAACGACAAAGAATGAAAGGCCTGACAGAGAAAGAGTTCAGTTTGCGAAGAATTTGCATTCTCTGTTGACCCCGCTTCACAATACACTCAGTATTCACATCAAATTTGAGGTGGTCATCGAAAATGGTGCCCAAGTATCTGTATGATGTGACAATTTCTACCTTGTCATTGTGTATGATGCACTCCTTAGGAACATCCTTGTGACGTCTAAAATCAATGATCAATTCCAGAAAACTGTCATCACACCAGGAAATAAAATCGGCAAGAGCACCCTCGTGGCCTGATTGTGAGCCGCTAAGGAGGGACAAGAGGGCGGTATCGTCAGAGAATTTAACCAGGTAGCTGTTGTCTTGCATGCTCCTGCATTTATCAGTGTACATTATAAAAAGTAGGGGCGAAAGAACGCATCCTTGAGGCGAGCCCGTGGAAGTGATGACAGAGTCAGAGAGGCGTCCGTTGACAGACACCTTCTGCTCTCTATTAGTTAGAACGTTTAAAACCCATAAAACAAGTTGATCGGGCAGCTTAAAATGACATAATAGGCTCTCCACCAGGAGATGCGGCTGCATTGTGTTAAATGCTGAAGAAAAGTCAGCAAACAAAAGCCTGGCATGGGCTTGTGGCTTTTCAAGGTATTTGTGGAGGGTGCAGTATAAGAAGCTTTAACTCCTCTCCGCCTCTCCCTGCCTGATACGCACATTGTAGTGGATCAAGTTCACCACCTATTACTGACATGACAAGGCCTTTAACAATTTTTTCAAACATTTTCATTACCAATGACGTGAAAGCCACCGGTCTGAAGTCGTTTAGGACTTTAGGATGAGGTTTCTTAGGGATGGGAATTACAGTTGAGGATTTCCACATATCAGGAATTTGGCTATTCTGAAGTGACAATTGGAATATATGCTGGAAAACACCACAGAGGTCGCTAGCACAATACTGGAGTGTCCGCCCACAAATATGGTCAGGACCTGGGGCCTTCCTAATATTGACTCGTTTTAAGAGATTCCTAACATCATCCTGTTCAATGACTATGTCTGAGATAGGGGAGAGAGACTCTCTAAGGGTTGAGGTGTTTATGGAGAAATCATTTTTCTCGAATCGAGAATAAAAAATGTT